GCAGAATACGCAGGACATTATTTGATGTTGGCAAACATGATCAAATATTTTCTCTTCTGCTGCACCTTAGCCATTTAGCACAAAGCCTTTAATAGGTCATGTATTAAGGAAGGACTTCAGCCACTCGAGTAGTCTGTTATGGTTTTGCATGGTGATGGAAGATAAGATAGCTAAGTTGCACAGATGCGTAATGTTCTTACACTGCTGCCTTTCATCAGCATTTTCTTCCTCTTCTCAATTGTCTGTCTGGCACCCATTCACCAACACTTGCACTCTCACCTCTACTTTCAAAACTGCACTGCACTTCTTCTAGATGACAAAGGTCTCTCACTTTTAGTTCTGTTCCTGTTTGTCCTTTGTGTTTGTCTTTGGGTGTGTGCATGATTCCAAGCACACCTGCCACCGCACACACAGTGAGCCCTTTATTACCTTAACCCACGCAATGCAGCTGACAAACTCAGCTCCAGACAAGAACACACACATGCACGTATTACCAACCAATCATGTAGACAGTTAAACTGAAAATAGGAGCCAGGTGCTCGACCAAGCCATTTCCTTCTCTCTTTCTCCCTTCTTATTCTTCTATATTTGTCTTTTCAGAGGAATACAAAAGCTTAAATTTGATATTTTAAGAGGTTTGCAGTGGAAAATAGGTTTTAAATTGTTGTGTGAGTACAAGAAATGGTATCAGATATCAGTGCTGGGGGTTTAAACATTAACCTGCAGCTCAAGATATTTCCTGGATTTCTCAGTTTTGTGCAATGCAAATCAGAGTCAAGTTCATTCAAACCTAATTTTATTAACAAGGAAACAGCATTGAGAAGGAAATGCTGCTTTAACCACAACTTCTTTTTTTGTTTTGGATATTACAGTAACTTGCAAAAATATTCGCCCCCTTGAACTTTTCCACATTTTGTCACATTACAGCCACAAACATGAATCAATTTTATTGGAATTCCACGTGAAAGACCAACACAAAAGTGGTGTACACGTGAGAAGTGGAACGAAAATCATACATGATTCCAAACATTTTTTTACAAATAAATAACTGAAAAGTGGGGTGTGAGTAATTATTCAGCCCCCTGAGTCAATACTTTGTAGTGATGGGATTTCCGGCTCTTTCGGCTCCAAACCGGCTCTTCAGGTTGTTTTGTTGCTTTAATTAATTTATTATTAACAATAATATAAAATTAT